ACAGATGGGTTGCAGGAGCAGCACAATGAAAGGTGGAGAAGCTGGCCTGACTCCCTTCAGCCCATTTCCCTCCATCCAGACATAGAGCAGCCACTCAGACTGGGAGAGAGGTGGTGCTGCTGAGAAAAAAAAAAAAAAAAAAAAAAAAAAAAAAAAAAAAAAAAAAAAATTTTTCAAAGGTTGCAGGCTTCTTTTACTCTTCCACCCAAACATGAGGCAGAGATGAGGTGCCCTGCTCCTGATATCAGTTCTGCAGCCCTTGGAGAAGCAGTAAGTGTGGGACATTTGGAGACAACCCAGCATCAGCTTATCTGAGACAGGATGTCACTAGCTGAGCTACTCACCTCCCAGCTCTAACAAGGAGAAATTCATGAGCACCTTCCTCCAGGCTTGATTCACCTCCAGACACAGCTTGCTCTTTTGGGGAATTTTAATTGCCCAGGTTTTCTTGACACTCTGTGTACTTTCTGTGAATCTTTTCCGGGCTTCTCACCTGGCTTTTTCTTTTTTATAATCTGTATGGCTATGGATGCTGCTGATGGGAGGGGATAGTTCCTTGGCTGAGCTCCTATTTGCAATTAATTTCACCATATCCCCTTAGGGAGGAGGCTGTGCGCTTCCCTGCCTGCTGAAAGAATGTGGGATGGCTTCAGCTGTGACTGCTGGGAATTTTTTATACACTGGCTTTTGTGCATCTGACTTTTGGGTCCACTTCCCTTTGGTAGAGGTAACAGGAGCTTTCTGGCTTGAGAACCACTGTCCATCCCATGGATCATCCTGGACACAACACTCTGGAAGGTCTGGCTCTGACTTGCTGTATGTGGTCTCACATGGGCCAGCAGAGTGATGAAAGAGCTGAAGAATCTGTCTGAAGGAGCCCAGCATGTTTCTCTGAGATAAGATGAAGCGATGACTCAGTTTCTAAGCATGAATGTACGGAAGAGGTTGGTGGCAGCTCTGCAGGAGTGCACTGAAGGTGACAGGGTCCAGTCATCACAGATCCACGTTGTGCTGATAAGGGGAGATAATTTGCAAGGCAAGTGGCTTGCAAAGCTTTAGCTGGGTACTCAGTGGGACTCAAGAGGTAGCCAAACATTCAATCAGCTCACAAAACACAAGACTGGATCCATTTAGCATGCTGAGTTTCTGTTTAGTGACAAACACTGTATTGGCACAGGGCTTGCATGGTGTGGAATGTTAATTTGATCAAAACGCTTTCCCTTGAGTTTGGGCACTTGATTCTGGTTCTGGTGTTGGCCTTGGCACCCTGCAGCAGCATTCCCAGAAGACCAGAGGCCAACAATAGTCTTTTACAGCTGTATTTTTTTTAGACTGAGTGGGTGGCCTCTCATATAAGCAACAATTCTTAGCTCCTGGCTTTCCTGGTACTTTCCCTTATGGTAGCTCATACTTCTCCATCCTGAACAGTCCTAGGTTTTAGGTCTTAGGGTCCATGCTTGTACTGGAGAAGTGCATTAGGATTTCTGATGTGTAGCTGTTATGGGGAAAGTGACACCTAAGCCTCAGATAAGTGCCACAGCTGAGCGTGAGGACTTAGCTGTCTTATGCCCCCCTTGTCTTTGCTGTCCCCACCATGCCATGAGCAGCAGTTCACCTTTTCCTAGCCAGCATTCTTGTCCCCATTCCCAAGAACCTCTCTAAGAATGGTGGAGGGGATGGGTTATTCCCTGTATGGCTGGGGACACAGATGACCCTGCACCCTAGAGGCCAAGTGTGTCATCCACTCAGGGAGAAGAGGATTGCAGGATATGTCTGACTGGGAACACAGCTTAAGGTCTGTGTACCACAGAGACAGTGCTGAGGAGCAGTGATTGGAGGAACACCACAATCCCCAGGACCTCAGAAGTACTGCTGTGGAAAGAGATATTTTCTTGTCTCGTGCTGCCCCCAGGCAGCCTGGCAGCCCCTTTCCCAGTGGTCCAAGCACAAAGGAAAGGTGAATGTGCTGCACAGAAACGGTCTTGCATTTTGCTGTATTTGTGCAGGGTATATTTTAAGACCAAGCGATACACTGGAAAGAAGCTTTCTTCATGTCAATTTTGGCATGCATGGCATGCAGCAACAGCCTGGTTTCACAGCACTCATTCTGCCAAATCCATGGAGCTGATATATGACTTTGCTGAGTAAATATTTCTGAAGGTTTTTGAAATGCCTGATTAAGAAATTCTCTGCTATGGTTCTGAAAAAAATGCTGTTGTTTTTCAAAAAGCAGCAACAAATTTCCACAGTAGCAATATATTGACACACTGTTCATGCCTCTCATTTTATACCATCAAAGGCTGGGTGGTGGAAGCTTGTGAGCCATAATGAAGCGTGTGAGCCAGCATTGTTTGTTTCATTCCCCTGTGCTAAGTAAGTGACAGCCAGTTTCTGGTGAAGGAATTAATTGTTTGGCAATATAGTGAGTGAGCAGAAGAGGCTGACCACTGTCAAAGCAAACTGGGCATGAAAGTCAAGCAGATATGACTCAGAGACAAGTTTTAGGCATATAGTGCCGTTCTTGAAACATTTTTGGTTGCATCTTTTTCTTTACTTCAGAAAAAGAAAGCACATAAATGGGAAGGGAGGCTATCAGATATGAGAACTGAGCTTCTGTGTCAGACTTGTCTGTGATCTTAAGAAAGCTGCTTAACTTCCACCCACAAAGCAGAGATAATCAGTTTCTGTGTTACAAAGCAGAATCAACCACAAACCTCGCAACTTTATGTTTGACTGTGTTAGGCAGAACATGAAAATACCTAAATGAGGAAGAAATTAAGAAATAAATGCAGTGATTTATTAAAAAATAATACTGCAAAATGTCTTCCTTTATTTTCAGGCAACAGTCACTCCCTGGCTTTTTGCTACTTGCTGCCATTACAAATTTGCTGACCACTGCCTGTAAATGGCCCACTGCTGCTTGAGGCAAAGGCCACAACACCCTCTGGGTGATCCTGATTCCTTTGTGGCTATTGTTTTCCCTTTAGCCTTCACAAAGAACAGAGACAAACATATGCTGAAGAAACAGAGCTGCATCTTAGGGGAAAACAGCAGAGGAGTGAACCAACAGTGCAATGATGGGATGGGATGGGATGGGATGGGATGGGATGGGATGGGATGGGATGGGATGGGATGGGATGGGATGGGATGAAGTGGTGGAGCCATCAAATGGGAGGAATCATCCAGACTTTCCAGCAGACTCATGCTGCCCAGCTGCAGCATGCTGGGCATCCCAGAAATGGCATTGTAGCTCTGGGACTGCAGCTCAGAGCTGTCTCCCCAGGATGGGTGCCACCTCTCCCATACGAAGTTACATAGTGCAAAGTTTCTGGGGTAAATCACAGTGATGATTTTTCTCTATCACTTGCCAGGATGATCTCAGCTACCAGAGAACAAGTGGAGAAGTGGAATCCTCCTCTGAGCCCTGAAGAACCAAGGTAGCAAGAAGCAGAGATCAAACTCTTGTACTTGCAGAGACACCAGGTATTTCCTCCTGAGCCAGTCAGCTCCTCCCATGGCAAGGAGTGAGCAGGGTGGAGAAGTGATTCTGCTATAAGTTGTTGGTCCAGAAATGCCCCAAATAAATACCTTTGAAATACGTCAAACTCTTCCCAGTGCACAAAGAGTAGTGCTCCCCTCACTGGGCCAGTGCTGAGAGGTAGAGCTCACCAGTCCACGGATGGCCCTCAAAATGCCTTTCACCTGAATTTCAGAAAAGGAGTACATGAGTTACTTGAGGCTCATGAGCAAGAGGTATCTTGAGGAGAGAGGAAAAGGATTGGGAAGACCATTTTCTGCACTCCTTTTCCTCCTCAGCTAAATTTTCTGGATGCATTTGGGCTGCCTTTTTGCAGCAGCACAGCACCCAGATGTCATCAGTCCCATGGGACTTCTCAGGGCTCCCACAGCAATAGGACCAGAGCAAAGGGGTTCCCCAGCCTACCGAGCTGCATTAGGCAGAGTGCTGCCAGCACATGAAGGGAGGTAATCCTGCTCCTCTGCTCAGCACCACTGAGACACTCCTAGAGTGGTGGACTCCCCAGTACATGAGAGACATGGACATACTGGAGAGAGTCCAGCAAGGAATTGATGATGGTGAAGTGACTGGAACATGTCTGATCAGAGGAGAAGCTGAGAGAGCAGGGACTGTTCAGCTCGGAGAAGAGAGGCTCAGACAGAGGAAGCTTGTAAGTTTAAGTACTGACTGGGAGAATTAAGGACAAGAGGTGATGAACACAAGCTGAAATGCATGAAATCCCATCAAGACTCACGAAGACATCTGGACGTGTGTGCATACTGTGTGTATGTTCTGGTATATGTGTCCTGGGTGTGCAAATGCTGTGTGCTATGCTAGGAGCAGCAGTGTGAGTGTTGAATGCTTTGTGTTGTGCCAGTGGCTGCATATTGCAGGCACAGTGCAGGTTTCATGTTCATTGTGTGTGTGTGTTGTGTTCAGTGTGTGTGGGATGGTTCTGTGTGGCCCCAGCTGGGGCTCAGTCCTGTGGGGGCCCCAAGGGGGAGCAGCATCAGCCCCAGAGAGGTCACAGATGGGGTCAGAGATGTGTGGGAGATGGGGAATCTGGCAGTTTATGGGGCAGACATGGAGGAAATTAGGGGTACTCAAGGCGGTTATAAGGTATGTGGAAGGTTGGGAAACCCTGTGAGAGTTATGGGCTATCCAGGAAAGCAATGTGACACCCAAAGGGTCAGGACACTGGGGAGATGACTGGGTGCACATCCAGGAGATTGGGGGGCCTTGGGCTGGGAGGGTGGTGGTACCCATGGGAGCTGTGGGACACCCAAGAAAGGGGAGAGGGCACAGGAGAGGGTAGAGACACTCCAGGGGTCTACGGGACACTCAGGAGGCTGGGAAAACACAGAGATTTATAAGGCACACAAATAAAGCTTGGACAGGGTTGGAGTCACCCAAGGGGCTCAGGGGGCACCCAGAGAGAGGTATAATTACAGGGTCCCCCCAGAAGCTGATACTGGAGCCCAGGCCTCTGACAATACCTTTATTGCCAGTATTAACAAGAGTCCCTGATGGGAGGGAGAATCCACACCTGCACTGAGGGCGTACGGCCTCACTGCGGAGCCGCATAGGTGCCTGCGAGGTGCACAGGCAGCCCGTCACGGCAAGCCATGCGCACATGGTGTTGCAATTGGCGGGCGCGGTACGCACAGGGTGGCCGCGTGTCCCCGCCGCGAAGGCGGCAGGCAGTGAGGCTCATTGCTCTTGGGGTGCTGTGGAACCCTGTGGTGGGGTCAGGCGCCTGGGAGCAGGCAGCCACCAGGTCCTCAGCTGGGGCGTGCACAAAGGTGTTGGAGGGCTTGCAGGGCCTGCCTGGAGCCGTCACCCGACGCCGTGCCAGCATGGTCTCACAGTAGCGATGCACCGCCAGCGTGGAAGACCGGGGGTTGTCCACGTGCTGCCGCAGGAACTTCTCATAGCGGGTCTCGCCCACCACCCCTGCCAGTGCTGCCAGCACCAGGATCATGCACAGTACCCAGCGTGCCATGGACACCTGCAGAAGGTGGTGTTAATTCTATCTGGACCTCTGGGGCCCTGACTGGAAATGACACCCGGGGTGCATAGTTATTGTACAAATTCCCCCTCCCAAATTCCTGTGTCCCACACAAATCCCCTCCCAGTGCGTGGGGACCCATCTCTGGACAGCTGGGCTATTTGTGGATCTCGCCTGGATGCATGGGTCTCCTAAAGTTATGCATTCCCCAAAAGCCTCAGTCCCCCATAGAACAGCCCCTACCTTCTCCTCAGATCCCTGAGTCCCCTACAGCTCCACCCCATGCCCCAACACCTGGATGCCATGCACAGATCCTGGATCCCTTCCTCACTAGATGCTTGGGTTCCTCACAGACACACCCCCCCAGACATTCTGGTGCCCTATGCACCCCTCACCTGCAGCTGTGCGGGCGCCTCAGTTTCCCTTATGGCCTCAGGGTCTCCAGGATCCCTCTCACTCCTCTGCACCTCTTTTATACTGGGCCCAGTTGTGCCCAATGGGCAAGGATCCAGGAGGAGGGGCAGGATAAAGAGCAAGGTCCAGTGGATGTCTCGGGGGAGCCAGATGTCCAGGAGGCCCTGCTCACCCTCATGGCCCTCAAGGTCATTAGGTAGTCATTAACAAACCACATGACTGTCTACGTGCGTCCCCTTGGGTGGCCCCTGCCCACTCTGGCCTTGGCCACCTGTCCCATGAAAGGCAAGATACCTGGGTCCTTTTGGGTGGCAGGGCAAGATACATGGCTCCCTGGTGGGGGGCAGGATGTCACCATCACCTCTGGGGCAGCTGGCAGATGTTCCTACAACTCTTGGAAAGATGTGATACATCCATGGCCCTTCTGCAGTGCTAAAGGACTAAGCTAAGTGCTATGTGTTCCTTTTCCCTGTGTCCCCTTGCAGGCAAATTCATACTCCCAGGAAGTGCCAGGATGCACTCTTCTTCACTGCGATCTCCCATACTCCAGCTGCTCCATTGATGCAGAGACAAGCAGAGAGCCTGAGCCCATCAAATACTCCTTTCCCTTGGCCATTGTAATGGAGCCCCAAGGAAAGCATGTCCTCTCCAGAAGGAGAGGCATGCAGTGCCCAGGAGAAGTTGTCATGAGTGGGTGCAAGTGGTCTCCATCCTCCTCTTCTAAGACATCAGAGAGACTCTGATGGGAAGTGGCAAAGAGGGAATAAGGTCCTGGGCAGCACTTTTCCCAAAAGAGTTGTAACACTTCCAAGATTGGCCACAGTGAAGGTGTAGAGGGTCCTGTCCAGGGCTCTGGTGGCTTTTCTACAGCCTCTGAAGAAATCTTCCTCAAAAGTACACAGTCTCTACATTGGAGCAGCTCAGGCACCTGGCTGAAATCTCGCAGACATGGAAGGTCAGCATATTGCTGACTCTCAGTATCCTTATCCTGGGCAGGGATGGAGGATGGGGACTCTCATCACAACCCCTTGGACACACTCTGGTTTCCAGTGTCCTGGTGTGGGTGAAAAAGAGATGGCACCCACAGGAGGAGGAACAAGGCTATATGTTTGGCGATGGGCTGTCTCTAGCTGGCATGGTGCAGGCACCTGTGCTGGATCCCATCCTACCTGGCAGAGCCTCAGGCATATCCTTGCCACAGGCTTCTGTGAGGCTCATTGGTGAACCACAGCCTGTGGTCACCTCTTGTCCCAGGTGAGTCGCTGAGCACCGCTGTCTTGGGCACCGCTTCTTCATGTCCCATCCCTGCCCACGCAGGGGGGCTGAGCGGAGCCTCCTCCTGCCCTGTGTGGTGGGGAGAGGAGCGATTGGCCGGGGCACTTGGGGCAGCTCAGACCACCAGCTTCTGGTTGTAGCCTTGGCGACCCAAGGCCTGGGAAAGCTGCCAATTTTAGGAACTCTCTAAACACGGGGTCTAGTTTAGAAAGGAGACATTGTTTATTCAGCGCGGGATGCAGGTGCAGGTTTGACAAATCAAACACACCATGGGGTAACAAGTTACATCTTTTATACAGTAAAATTTACATGAGCCCGCCTCTCTAATGCATATTCCTCTTCTATCGATGCATATTTATTTGTATGACGTACTCTTACGAGATGCTTGAAATACAAAGTTCTTCATTAACCAACTTCCACTGTAGAAAACACCAGATGACATCAGTTACGCTTACAAAAGGTGACAAGATTCAGCCTGGGGACAGATAATTCAGCTTGAAGACATCAGAATGAGCAGGAGGTGGCGCCTGCCTTTTGCCCGGGCACAATCGGTGCAGCAAACCCGGGCTGTGGCTCTGCCCGTACCACAGCGGCCCCCGCACTGGCATCCCCATTTCCGGCAGGGCCCGAACGCAGAGATCGGCCGTCCCGGGCCGAGCGCTCCGCAAGGCTCCAGGCGGGGGCGCTCACGGGCACGGGCTGTGCCGAGGCTCTCCCTGTCCCCCCTGTGCCGTTGGTTCCGTCCCGCCGTGGTACGTCCCGGGCGGGCCACCCCAACTCCCGGCGCTGGAGGCGGCCCCGTTCTCGCAGGTCTCGCGCGAGCGCCGGTCTCGTATAATCTCGCGGGAGCGCTCGCGCCCCGTCCTTTCCGCGGCGCGGGCCGGACGATGGCGGTCGGGAAGAACAAGCGCCTCACCAAGGGCGGCAAGAAGGGCGCCAAGAAGAAAGTGTGAGGGCCGCCGGGGCACGGGCGGGTGGTGTCTGGGGTCGCCGGGCGGGGCGCCGCGGCGGCGGATGCCAGGGATGTGGGGCAGATGGTGGCGGCGGCCCGGCCGGAGCAGAGACGATGCTGTCATGGCGTCCGCGGGCGTGGGCCCGGCGGGACGGGAGAAGCGGCGGGTATTCGGAGAGGAAGGTCTTAATGCAGCCCGTTGTGGCCTGAGAAAGTCGGTCAAAAAAATCTTTTTCATTTGATTTAAGGGTCGACCCTTTCTCCAAGAAGGACTGGTACGATGTCAAAGCACCGGCTATGTTCAATATCCGAAACATCGGGAAGACGCTTGTCACCAGGACTCAAGGAACTAGTGAGTAGTTGGGGTCGGTGCAGTACAGGGCATTGTGTTTGCTCCATGTGCTAGCTCCAGGCGTTTAAAGAACTTGGATAAAATGCTGAAAAATGCGTTTTTCTTGTACTGTTGCGAATTTGAAAGCTAAAAGAGTGGTGGTTTTGTTTTGTTTTGATTTTTTTGCTTTTTGGTGGTTTTTGAGTCGACTGAGTTGTTTGAATAAATGAGCTTAGTTGCAGGGACGTTCATACACTGGGCCTTTGTACAAGAATGCTAGATCATGGAAGGAAGGGCCTGAAGTTTCTAAATAAGTTCTTCTGACAAGTTGGGAAAAGTTCAAGAAGTAAGCAGTAGTTCTGATTGTCCCAGAGGGAGATGTGGGACAGTGCCACAGGAGACCTTTGTCCTAATAGGATCATAACGATTAGCACATCAAGACACTGAAATATCTGATATTTAAAAGTTTTGGGTAAACATTAGACCTGGAATTGCTGACTTAATGTGAGCACTGATGTATCACTGGAGGGTAGATTCGGTTTTATATTATCTGGCACACCTTAGGAAGAGGAGCTCTCTGTTACTAATGCGGAGGTATCTGGATAGAGGTAATCCTATTTTTGGAAGCTTAGCCATGCAGAAAGGCTAAATTGCTTTATGATACTCTGCTGGTTATACTCAGGATGATGATTGTTACTTGAACTGCAGCATGTGAAACATATAAAATGAGGGTCACTGCCAAACGAAATGTGAACCAGCCAGTGTTGTTAAAATGGTTCTTTGTTGGAGGAGGAGCTATGAAATGATTGTACTGGGCTGTTCATTGCTGCTTCATCTCTGTTGAACACTTGTGGCTTTTTATGTTTAGTTTTTTCATTACTGTTTATAATTTCCAAATACTTTGTAACCCCTTCCTGCTTGAAACCAACCAAATTATTACATGTGGTAGAATCTGCTGTATGTTGCTGTTCATATCCCACGCCTGATACTATTTCCTTAAAATGATTCCTCCCAAAGGGAGGAATTTCCAACTTTGCTGTGGCTCTGTGATCACCATTAGAAAACATCAGAGAACAGGATTCCAGTGGGAATTCAGTATCTGATTTGAAGAATGTGCTTCTAATGTTAATCTGTTTTATCCTGTTCATCACACAGAAATTGCCTCTGATGGGCTGAAGGGCCGTGTATTTGAAGTGAGCCTGGCTGATCTGCAGAATGATGAGGTTGCCTTTCGCAAATTTAAACTGATCACTGAGGACGTTCAGGGCAAAAATTGTCTGACCAATTTCCATGGGATGGACCTCACGCGGGACAAAATGTGCTCCATGGTCAAAAAATGGCAGGTGTGTAAGAAACAAGGTCTGCATCACTGCTGGTGCCTTCAGGGACGGAGAGAAGCGCTTCTGCCTGGCAAAGCTATATTTGAAGCGCCATCAGCATCAGACTGTCGGGCGAGTGGGGCTGGGCAGTTTGTCTGCTGTGTGGGTTGTAAATGTTCAGTGCTTCCTCTTTCAGACAATGATTGAAGCTCATGTGGATGTCAAAACTACGGATGGGTATCTGCTGCGCCTCTTTTGCGTGGGCTTCACCAAGAAGCGCAATAACCAAATTCGCAAGACCTCTTATGCCCAGCACCAGCAAGTTCGGCAGATCCGCAAGAAAATGATGGAAATCATGACCCGGGAGGTGCAGACCAATGACCTGAAGGAAGTTGTCAACAAGCTGTAAGCTTTGGCAGTGTTCTTTCCCCTACAGTTTAAATCATTGTTTGGGGATTGGTTGTTGCTGAATGCCTGGGGAGTGCTGGTGCATCCCGAGCAGTTTGTCAGAGACCAGGCAAGGAGCCCCTCGTGTAGAAAAGCCAATTGCTCTTTTCTGCAAATGGCTTCTCTTAGTCTCTGCATCCTATCTGAACCTCAATCCATTATCATATTTGCATAAATGTAAAACCACTCTTCCAGAAAATTTGTGGTTCACATTTCTACAGACTAAAGTTGTAATTCTGACACACTGGGGCTCTGAGCTCGTCTGTTACGAGAGTTTTTCAAAGTGTGCTGATTGCTTCCAAAAGTTTGCAGATTTGCTCTCAAAATGAGCACACTTGCAATACGTCCCTTCTAACATTGAAAGGGAGGTGTCTTAGAATCTAAATGTACTTGAAGAAAATTGTCAGTGATGTTGTAAACTTTTGTAGAATATTTCGTATTAAGGATTTTTTTAAGCCTGTGTTGCTGCTGCAGAAGCAGGCAGTGTTTTTAGCATTATTGTGCTCTGTCATTTCTCAGGATCCCAGACAGCATTGGCAAGGACATCGAGAAGGCCTGTCAGTCCATTTACCCTCTGCACGATGTCTATGTCCGTAAGGTGAAGATGCTCAAGAAGCCCAAGTTTGAATGTAAGTCACTGCCGACATTTGAAGGAGGGTGTGGAAAGGAGTTACTTTCAATGTATTTGCTTTTGGATAATAATGTTACAGCAGCATCA